CGATTCTTAAATTTTTCTCTCTCTTTTCTTATAATACAGAAGCACTTTTTCAAATATGAGTGACCCATCAATGCTACGATTGGTAAGATTGCTGAAGCCTGATAGTTTGAACTCGTTCAAATCCCGGCATTATGCTGGGTTAATTGCTGGGAAGGTTATGTGTTTTTTCCCCTGTGTAACATGATACAAATTGTTTCCCTTTAAATGTCCTTTGTGAGACAACTCTTTTTAGGTATATAGTTCTCAAGTGTTGTCCTGTAAACAATCCTAAATTATACTTGTATGATAAAAAATTAATCATTAACAGCAACTTTTGTGTATATTACATTTATGAATACATGCCTGCATTATATTGAGAATAATGTTCATGTAATTGATAATATGATTAATACTGAAAATACTATTTAAGCTAAAAAAAAAAAAAAAAAAAAAAAAAAAAAAAAAAAAAAAAAAAAAAAAAAAAAAAAAAAAAAAAAAAAAAAAAAAAAAAAAAAAAAAAAAAAAATAAAAAAAAAAAAAAAAAACAGATTTGAACCTTTTTTTCATTATAGGGTAACATATGCCAAACAGTTTTTGATAGAAAGAGATGTACGGGTATGCTAACTTGACACATCGACCAGAAAATATATTAGACTCATAATTCATGAAACACTTGTGAAAAACTCCGAAACCTCCTTTCCCCAGCTGCTACTTGCTGCTTGGCTATAGTGGGATTTTTGAACTTAAAAAATATGTATCTTAAGTTGGTTATTTACATAAAAAAAATAAATAAAATAAAATAACAGATTGTAAATACAGTATATTTTACTGACAAAACCTTTCTTCAGGAAAAAGAAGTATTTTAAGGTATAAAAACGATACATTTAATTTAAGGGCAGCCCATAAGCACTGCTGATGCACATCTTTTTGTAGAGGAAATAATTTTGCTCATTTTGTTGCATAACAGAGAATATCCATAGATTAATTTTTACAGTTGTTAAAATAGTCATGGGCTATCTGTTTCAAGAGAATACCTTAGTGAGGAATTTTCTAAACCAAATCGCCTTGAATTAACATTACGCATGGGAAAAATCCTGTTCAGTTGCAAACTAAAAACCCAGAACAAACTACCAACATCCAGCAGTCTTATTCACTCAGCTGTAGTGAACTGTTTGTATATTATAAATAGTATTAAAATAATGAAAATATTTATTATAATAATTTTTTAATAATCCTCTTTAGTAAGGCATTTTCTTTGTTTAGGGATTTGGTGTGAATACTTAATGCTGTGTTTGAATAAGTCACTTATTTAGAACTTAATGCTTCAAAAAATGAATGCTGGTATCCATAGAAAAATTATCCCCAAAAAAAAAAAAATATTTAATAATTCATATTCTTATAAATGAATTATTAAATTAATGATTGTTGTAATTATTAAATACAATTTTTGTTTATTTTTTACAAAGTGTACAGTAATACCCCTTTACAAAAATACTATATTGAATAATTACATTGTAAGCTAATAAATGACAATATTGCTTTGTTTTTTATTAACTATGTCTCATCTTTCCTTTTCAACTTTCAGTTGTAGAGTAATGTTTTTAATCATATTTCAGATAAAGTTTCTCAAGGACAGGAAAGCAAGAATTTTTTAACTCGCTTAATAAATTCATGATCAACTGAAAATTCGTAAACAAAAACAGTTTCAGGTTAAAATGGCCTTTTAGAATATCTTAAATGTATATAAAAAAGTGAAATGCAAATTTGACAATGATATTATTACCATCTCAATCTTTAAATAACTTCTAAATGTTTTGTTTATTGCTCTTAAAAACATATCAATAAAAGTTAATATCATAATGTCTGTATTAAAAAATCTCAAAATTATTGCTTAAAAAAAAGCAGAAACAAAGATTTATTTATACCAAAGACAAACCTAATTACTTTGAGATCGAGAAGATATATTTAATAATAAATTCATTAGCTCCAGTTCTTCATGAATAGCTTTCTAAGTATAATCTTTGAAGAAGAAATTTATATTGTTTTGGAACTGATATTGTTTGTACTGATCTTTAGATAATTGTTTATGCTATACCCTTAAATCATCTAAATTTTTGTTTTCATAAATCCCATGGAAAATAAGTCTCATTTAATACCCATCCTTTTTCAAATCAGCAATGTACATATAACCTCAAAAGTGCTTTTCTGCCCCTGAAATATTCAGTCCCAAAGTTTGTTTGCTGAATATTTAACTTTATTTTAAAAAGCATGTTTATATATATTTTTAAGCTCATATTACTCATTCTAAAGGTGAAATATTCCCAGAAAATGATTCCTTCTAAAAAAGATGTAAATTTCAGCATTAAATATGCCTGAGAAATTAGAATTTTTAAATCTCCTTAATATTTAACTCGAGTTTCTTTAGAGAGTAAATTTAAAAGTAATAGCAAGTTAAGTTGATTAAATTTTGCAGAAATAATAAAAGATTTTTTATGATTATTATTCAAATGTTATGCCAAATATCTTAAAATTATAGATAATAATTAAAGTAAAAAGAAATTGTAGAACTATTTTAAAATAATAATTATTTGTGTACAAATGAAGAATGTAGAAAATTGTTGAAAGTTTTAAAGATTTTTAATTGATGACAAAAAAAACAGTATTGGAAAATAATATGAAATACAATCAAACTATAAATATAGCTCTTTAAATGTTTCAGCAATATGATAGAACGAACGGAAGTTGTGCCAGATATTTGTTAATGTAGATTTTATTAATAGTAGTTTAATCAATCTGCACTGAATTTCATGTAATAATCAATAACTTAGTGGTTTAGATAATGAAGGTAAAACATGCACATTAATTAAAAACTGCATAACTTTTTGAAACCCAATTTATTTGAAAATAAGAGTCTTATAGAGAATACTTTTAAATTTGGTATCTGTTCCTGCTGAACTGTCATCAGGGATAAGGTATTCATTTGCAACTTTCTTGACAGCTTGCATATACTAACGTTTATGGCAGCACTTAGTCGGAATAATTGAAGTAAAATTCTGGAAGGGAAGTAACAAAAGGAGTAGCTGGAATTTTTCAGAGATTTAAGGTTATATTCACAGCATTTTATGAACTTCTGCCTAAAATTAGTGACAGTTTTAAAGGTGTTTGTAGAAAATAATTAGATACTCTAAGGCTAGATCATCATAATCTCAAGTACATGCTTTCAAATAACAGTATCTGAAATTTATATGTATTGTTTGAGCGGAGAGGCTGCTAGGGGTCATATATCGGATTTTTTTTTTAATACAACCATGTATATGTGATGATTTGGGAATGTTGTACAGATATTAGTATAAAAGTGGTTGCAGGTGTCGGAATTAATATTCATTTTTATTCATGGTGGGCGCACATTTCAGTAAGTAAATGCAAATAAAAGACACAACCAGCTTGCCTGTTACAGTACACTAGGAGGAAGGGGCACCCAGACCTGGCTAACTCAAGGCTGTCTTTCCACAGTTAAACACCCCAACCCCTAGAGGTGATTGGAGGAAGCATAAGCCTCGGTTAACCCAGGGGGACTTAAATGTTTCACACAATCTGGGTTATAAGCACACAAGTCAAATGTGGGAGAAAATGCATCCACCACAAAGAGAACAGTCATAGTTAGATGTTGACTATCTCCCATGTTGACCAAGGGGAGCCAAACCCACAAGGACAGCCTTTGATATCTGACCATTTAGTGTCTCCACAATAAAGGGGCAGACAAGACAGTACCATATGGTCTCTGCCAAGCCTGAACCTAAAACCAAATAAATGATGGTTCTAATCACTGTGAAGACTGTTAATTTTCCCCCCAGAAGTCAAGTCTGTCTAGGTATTGACCTAGCCAGAATCCCCGTACTGTTACAGAATTGTTTACATTTTTGAAAAGAACAGTCTACAGCAAGTTAGCAGATGCAAAACAGAAAATGTGGCAGGATTAAATCTATATGACCAATGGTGAATTTCTGGTTCCCACCCACTTCTACCTGTACCTAGTCATGTAGTCTTCAGTCTTATATCATGGTTTGTATTCCAGTGATCTTCATATACCTGGACATGAACTTTATTAACTCACATTGCCATCTTCATGGCAACGTACGTGAGTGACCTCTGCGATCAATTTTGTTATTTTATTATTGCGTGCCAATGTAATTCTTTCACTAAGCAGTGCAGTGCTTAGCTATATTCCACATGATTCTTCCAGAGCTTCTTCTGTAATGTTGGCATTTTCCCATGGGTTGCCCAAACATCTGATCTCTCACATCAAGAATTTCTGGCACATGACCCATGTATGCATACCAAAGTCTCACAAAGCTGACCTGCTAGTTGATACATGTCTAACATACTATACTGCAGGGATAACTATAAACTCTACGTGTATCATTCTAAACAAATGCTTGTATCAATCAGGCAGCATAACCGCATTCTGACTTCTTTTGATGTTATAAATGCTTTATTACTTTGTAAATTACCTTATTCTTTGAAATCTTAATGATTACTTTTTTATTTCTGTTCTTCAACAAAATTTCATCAAATTTGAGTGATTCCTTCCTGCTCCATGGTGTGTGTGTGAGAGATTGCATACCATTATTTTCAGTATTTCAATACTCTGTAGAATATAGTCATGATTTCTTTAACACTGCATTAAAAGAAAAGATTTTTTTAATGCTTAAAGAGGTTTTTAAAACATTACTAAATTTTAATTGGGCGGATTGGGAAGTAATATTTATTTGAAGACAGTATGTACCAGTCTTTTCTTAGTGTGTAATATAAGTCTTACAAATCACATGTTCAGGATCTTTGTTTTCTGTACCAGACCATGATAGAGTGAATTTTTATTTAATATCAGAAATCAAAATATCTGATGAAAACTTAGCTGGTATGAAATAATATGTCTTATGCCATTAACTTATGTTTTGATCTGAAGACATTTCACATGGTGTATTGAAAATTTATTATTAAGAGGTTTACCTGTTTCTTAGGTATATGAAGCATTGATGTTGTGGATCAAACATGATGTTGACAGAAGGAAAGATTTAATACCTAAACTTCTGTCAAAAGTCCACCTTCCATTGCTACCCTTATCATACCTTCGTATGTATGTAGAATCAGATTCATTAGTTCGAAAAAATTTGGAATGTCGAGATTTGTTGGATGAAGCTTGGCATTATCAAATGTGGCAAGTCAGCCGCTTACCTACAGCCCATCTGCCAGTTAATGAAAGGACAAGGCCACGGAAAAGTTATGCAGGTGACTGAAACTTTACATTTTTCTGTGTAAATTTTTTCTGGATTTATGATATGTACGTATTATAAATAACAGTATTATTATTTTTATATTTCCTGTTTATGTATAAAATGAAAATTTATCTTTTTTAAAAAATTCATATGTGTTTACATATTTATCTATCTTTTGAAAAGAAATTTAGTGTAGCGAATATAGAATATAATAAGTACAGTCTCGCAATATCTATATGTATATACACATACGTTCATGCATATTTTATCACTGTGTCATTGTTCGTGCACAAAACAATGACACAGTGATAAAACTGTGTAAAGCAACAGCAAATTGTGTGCCTTCATATCATCCTAAATTAAAATATAGATTATACATCCATCTTATTTGTATATGTTTTTGCATGGCCCATCAAAAGACTTATTAACTATGCTTTTTTTCTCTTTGGATGTAAAATGCAGTTTTCAAAGGCACTATAATGAATATTGTGTTGCAAAGTGTTCTTCTTTCAAAAGAAATGCAATTCAAATAAATAAAATCAAATTAAAAAAATTTTGACTGAATAAATAGAAATTTTTAAGAAATATGATTCAACTGTGCAACTCAAATAATTAAAATGGTAGTCTAAAAATAAAAAAATAACAACTGTGGTTTAAAAAATATGTAAAATAAAAAGATACAGTCAAAAGTCGTTTATCCGGACCTCAAAGCTAGAAACTTTCTGCGCATGCATCAACGCATAATGCGTTCATGCATGCGCATAGGCATTTACGCATGCACGTAATACTTTTACGCATGCGCGTTTAATGTATAATGGACGGTATAAGCTAAGCTAAAATTATCTATTTCGTTAAGGGCAGGGTGTTCCTTCTTCCCATTGGATGGCTTATTCTTTTTGCCTGTTAGACAAGTTATAAAGTAAGCTTGACTTTCGATTATGTCAAATAGAATTTTGCTTTATTTCCTATAGTAAGGATTAAAAGCGAACAGCGGTGCGACGTATGCTGCAAACAAAAATGGAATGAGTTCTCTAACATCCAAATTGTTAAATTCTGTGCAGATTATGGGGGGGGGGGTCGTGACGACGTGAATGAGGTGATCTTCTTTCAGCACTATCCTTATTTTATAGATGTTTATTTAATGCTTATAATTTTCTAAATGTAAGTACTCTCCTGTATTTGTCTTTCTATGATTTAAATCAAATCCTCGCTTATCTACGATTTCCATCCGTTTTGGTCACTTCTCTTTCGACCACGCTGTCTGCTTTACGAATTGCGCGCCGTGAAAGAGCGTTTAACACACCATCCCCTCTTCGTTTTTTTTGTACTTGTGATTTCTGACTCCCTTCCGGTTTCTCTTTTTTTTCCTTTTCTGAGATTTAAACTGCCGGATTAAATACTTTTGACTGTATTTAAAAATAAATAAATAAATAAATAAGGCATCTTCCTGTAGGTTCAGGAGGAGAGTGAAAAGGTTAATGTTAATTGAGAAGTTCACTAAATGAATTACTCAGAAGTTTCTTATCAGATTTTTCAAAATTTGGTTTTAGGCATCATTTGTATCATAGAATTAAAAATGTGGGAAAAATTGCCATGTCATTTAAGAAAAGACTGATTTTATGTCAAAAAACATATGTTAGAACAGCACTATATATAATAATATATATTTGTATTCACACTTTCAGGGCATGAAAGACACATGTTGAATTATGTGAATCGGCTGAATAGAATGGCAGATATAGAACTGTTCCCCCCCTTTTTCTAATTTGGTGCCCAAATAATAAGAAAATAAGGTCAGTTTGATATCAACAGTTAGATTAATAATTAGGTGCCTCTCTTGGAATATTACTGTTGTCATAAATAAATTTCTGTGAAACAAAACACCTTGTTACTTGTCACTGTTAGTAATGATACTGTTAGTCACTTCTTTACCTCAGATGTGAAAATGTTGAGGCTCCCAACTAATACAGGTTGCTCCCAGACAGTACAGCATCATTCACTCTACAAGGCATGAAGTGCAGTTAACATAACTAGGTCTTAAATTCTCTTTTATGTTATCTTAATTTGCATAAATTGCATTCTTATCCAAGCTTAAAACCTACATATTCCTTTATATAGATGAGTATTCAGATGAGCTAAAGGGTTTGATTTTCTTTAGTTGATTATGGCAAAGCACACTAGGGCTATCTGTCTAAGGGAAGGGATTCTTTCATGGAAGACATTCTAAGGAAAACTGGCTCATATACATGTTACTTGTGAGGAAACCACCACAAACAACCAGCCTATTCGCCTGTAATAGAATACAGCTCAGAACTACCAGTGTTCAGCGATTTTACTGCTTAGCCACTAGGCCTTGAGCTAAAAGGAAAGAAGTATGTTAACTGAATAGATTTCAAATTGCAAAGTAAGTTTATTACTTGATACAGGGATTGCATTATGAAGTATATATTATGAACGTATTGTATGTTAGTTTGGATAGCATATTACAGTATTTCATTATGAAATTAGTAAAAGTTTTGTTTGAATATAACAATATTAGATTTAAAGTTTTAAATATCTATTGTTATGTGAGCATTAGCAGCATTATATAAATGACTCAAGAAGCTATTAATTCTCGATGGACATACATCTGAAAGGTTAGTTAATAGTAAACATATCTACAGGAATGGAAAATGTCCACATTAAATACAGCATTAGGAGTCATTGCATATTAAAATATTGTCTTCATACAGGTGCACACACATACACGCTTATGTGCAAATCCATAAATGTGTCAAGCTAAAGCTGTTGGTTCAGTTCTTGAAGCAAGTATAGTTATTGTATTTCACTGTTCTAAATAGGTCTGAGATGACTTTTTGGCCAGTTTTTTTATTCTTTATATGGTGAGCAAGAAACCAGATTTTGTAGGATATTTTGTTAATTAGCTGTAATAGCATTAATCTGGTTACTTTTAAAATTAAGTTAAAAAATGGGAGTGGATTTTTTCTTCTTGCCATTATATAAATGTGTCTTATTCATATAATGGCAAGTTTATGTCTGTTTAGCATTTAATGAAATATTATGTAACAGCCTTTAATTTAGGAATGATACACTTCAGAAAGATTAAATATGAATATGTTACTTTTAGGACAATGCGAAATTATCTGATTAAAGGAAGATTTTTTTTTTTCAGGATTATTATGGATTCAAATTTTGTTTACTTATTTCATATTTTCAAAATGAAGGCATTTAAAAAAATATTCAAGAAATACAAAGGAAATATTAACAATAATGAATTTTGATCCCAACATTTTTTTTTTTAAATAATTTTTAGAAACCTTCATAAAAGTGCCTCTGGTGTGCCTGCATCCGTATAAAGAGCAGTTTTAATTTTAGAAAAAATATTGGATTTTTGTGTACTCTTAATCAGATTAGTAAACTAAAACCCCACTTGAATTTACTCTGGGTATTGTAGAAGGGGCCATATTATAAAAGCATCTCAACATTCAGTTCAACAAATATGAAGTGTCCCTGTTCTTTCACAGATTTGATGACTATTACGATTTTTCTGTTAAGTCTGTCAACTTTTTTTCTTTTTTCCCAAGTTGGGGCATTCTGTAGCAAATAATTATTGATCATGGTCATTCATAACATTCTGTTTTCATATTTATAACATGTCTTTTAAATTATTAATATTGTAAAAATTTACTAAAATTATACTTTTATTCTTGTTTAACATAATTTCACTTCTATTTTTAATCCTGTGCTAACTGAAAACCCCACAGTATATTAAAGCTAATTTGTTGATATCATAATGTGTGATCTTCTTTAAACATATTTCATGGTTGAAGAAGATTGTACATGCACCACTCAACAAGTTTTTAAAAGGTTTTTTCTTTTTCTTCTTGTCCAAGATAACTAATCCGTTTATCCATTAACTGGGTCTGAATTGCATTAACTTATTCCAAACTATAAAAATTAATTCCTATAAGATATTCATAGTGGTAGCCTTCACCTCTATGTAAGGATAGGAGTAACAATTAATTTAGGAGTAAAATACTGGTTTTGATGCAATACTCTCTACATCATATTTATTCCCTTTGCATTCAGTTGTTTATTCTGTAAAAGTTCGATGACCTTGAAAGCACTGGAATGATTTGAAACGTTAGCACTTGGAAAATATTCGTCATTTTACTATAAATGCTGGATTAATTTTTAAAGGGTAGCACTAGATTTCAAAGTACTCCCAGCAAATCTATGATTAGTTTTTTTTTTTTTTTTTTTTTTTTTCACATTTTCATATTGCTGTTTAATTATGCTGCACTTATTAAATCACTGCATGTGCTGGATTAAAATTTGAAGAATGGATTTTTGACTATTTAAATATTTAAAACTTGTAACAAACTTGTTTTAGCATGATTTGGTGCAGTTGCCTTACTGATTCCACGTTGTGCACATAGATTGACGGAGCTGTAGATATCTTGTAGATTAGAACATGAAGGTATTAATTTTGTAGCCACAAAGTTCATGATAACACTTCTGTGAAGCAGCACAGGTTCACTTTGATGATTGAAAATGCTTTTTTTTTTTTTTTTTCTAATTATTTAACAGATGGCCATACACTTCGTTTTCACTGATGTTAGCACTTTCGGACTTGCAGATAAGCACTTACATTTTTTTTAACTTGCAGATACTCGATATCCATTATGAATTTCTGTTACACTTGGAAGTTTGAAGAGGTGGTTGGTTATTGTAGATTTTTAGGGGAGTATTAATGTTTATCACAAATTTATTCAAAATTACGCTAAAATTAGAGCTCCTTTATCAAATTTACTTAAAAAAGATACCCCTTATAAATGGACTGATGATTGTCAAATGGCTTTTCAAAAATTAAAAGATGCATTAATTTCAAGGCCTATTTTAACTTTATTTAATCCCAAATATCCTTGTCATGTATTTGTTAATGCATCTAGATGCATCTAAAGAAGCTGTTAAGAACATCCTTGATGGTAATTTACATCCAATTGCTTTTCATTCTAGGAAATTAAGATCTTATGAACAAAATTATGCAATTACTGAGCTGGAATGTTTAGCGATAATCAATGCGATTGATAAATTTTATTATTATTTTCATGGTAATCATTTTACCGTACATACTAATCATGCTGCTTTAGTTTGGCTTAAAAATATTAAACACCCTACCGGTCGCTTATTTAGATGGTCTTTAAAATTATCTATGTATGACTTTGATATAAAGTACAAAAAGGGAAATTTACATTGCTAATTTAATCTTTTAGATATTCTTTATTTTTCTTACATATTTATATATACATAAGTTGCTTACTTTTTAGGCATGATTTTCTGTATTGGAGGCAGAGGTATTACAGGAGATCCATTCTCGTCTGTAGAGTTTTATAGTTGGATGCATAATAAATGGATTAAACTAAACAGTATGTCAACAAGTCGTAGACATGTTGGCTGTGTTTCTGTAAAAGGTATGATTTTTTTTTCAAGTAAAACATGCATCTCCTTACGTATAATAAAATAAAATATAATTTTCTTGATTTAAATGATTACAGTTGTTTAACCCTTTCTGGCATGCTACCTTTTAAAGTTAGAATTTTGATTTAAAAAAAAAAAAGGTAAGTAGTTTAATTAGGCCTAGTGGAGTACACAAGTAAAATTTTGT